ACAACGGTTATGCTGAGATGCTTTAGAAGCTCCTGTTGGACCTCCTTTAGAAATATCCAGCATGTCTTCAATGGTTTGGCACTCAGGGCCACTATTTCGGCCTGGGGTACAGGGTTCTTTGTCTTCCAGGTCGCCAACTCCGCAATCGATTGCCATGATGTTACGAAACCAAACGTTGCTGGGAACTGTGGAATGTGCCATCATTCCTCGAAACACAAGACGTCACTACGTCTCAACCCCTCGTGAGTTCAATGCGGTATCCAGCCGTTTACTCAATCTGCTGCAAACTACAATCTTAGGCCATGTTTATGGCACCGACTTCGTGACCCCGCTTCTTCATCCTCTAGATTTCATTAGTACTTCCAGTGCACAGTAAGAGTGATGCTGTTGCAAAACGCATAGATAACAAATATCCCGACGACAAATATTTGGCTGACAAGATACGCAAATTAACAAACGATAGGTGTCTCCCTGTGTCTCTGGTGGCCATTGTTGCACACACCCGACCACATTGACCACGGCTGCGGCTGTTGATTGACCTGTAATTCGGCTGCCCGCTGAAGCACTTGTTGATGATACCAACGAAATTAGCTTGCTGGAAGGGCAATCAATCGATCCGTTTCTACACCGCCCTTCGACAAATTCCCTGGCAAAATGAGTCCCACCCGCACACCAAGAGACCGATTACAAATATCTCTTAACTTTCTATCTGATCCCATCATGATAAACGACGGCGGGCGCGCTACACTCTCCAGATGCAGGCGACATTGTCAAGAGTCTTGTCGTCAATGCAGAGCTTATTGCCCTTGAATCTGGTCGGCAACCATACTACGGCTGTGCCAGAATGAATTACGCACTCGGCCACCGAACGTGCCGAAAAGCAAGACCTGAAGGTTGTTAAACCAGCCGGCTGGTTTCTGGAGGGGGTGCAAGCGTCCAGACAGAGAGCAGAGGCCAACATCCTGGTCTGACGGCTGAAGTATCGAGTACATTGCCATGTGTCGCCGTCACCAAGGCCACGAGGACGCAACGCACACGCCTTGAATAAGCTGCTTGCACGCCCTTACCAGGCAAGGGTTTCGAAGATTTGAACCAGCCACTGCGACGCCACACCGTGACACGGCGGACAGAGCACAATGTGAAGAATATGGAGTCGCGGACCACATCTGCACAGTATCCCATGGAAAATTGAGTGTTGCTTCAACCCATGTTGAATATTGCCCATGGTACACCGTACCCATGTGATTAGAGCCCTCATTATTAGTTCTGACTGAACTGCGAGTGCCTTGCAGGCAATCTTGGGCCAAGAGTCGAGGTGAGGGGGTTTGGCCAATGGAATCACGGGCAAGAATTCTGGGCCTGCAGCTCTGCGATACCAATGTCAAGTCCACTGTTTTGGTTTACAGGGGTGCAAATATTACCAAACGGAACATTGAAGACAAGACGAAGTATCTGGCTAGCCGTTTCCTGTCTACAAGGCGGTAAAACACGACCTGAATAAGATGTGAAGCCTATCCAGCCACCACACCAGAGCCTACGAGGCAGCCACAGCATACGAGACGGGACTAGCAGCAGATGGACTCACCACGACCAGCGGCTAGTACTGCTAGGTACTACATACAATGACATGAGGGCTTGGCGACCGGCAGGCGGATTTATTATTAGTCATTTCACATTCGGAAACGCGGGCCTAGGTTCCTGGGATCAACAGTAGTCCCAAGAGGTGCAGATTGAGATAATCGAGGTAAAGGATACAAGTCGAGGCAAGACCTTGTGAGACATATCCAGGCCTGTGTTGGAGCCAACAGCTTTGTTTTACCCGGCAGAACAACTGCATTGAAGCATGCGGAGCATTCCTTTCTCCGCATCATGCCACGAGGTCAGCAAGCGCACACCCCCCCTTCCAGTCGTGTCCGGTCTGTTGATTAGTGTTGCTCCCAGTGTCGTCAGCAGCCACTCAGTCCTGCACCGCCCACCGCAATTCACAAGGGCTGCTGGGTAATAATAGCGTTTCCAGCGCCCGTTCACTGCTGATGCGGCTTATTTCCTGAACACGTGGCAGATGCCGCTTGTGCAATCTTGCCATCCGTCAATGCCGACGACCTACCCTACCCACGATGTTGGGTCAAACACTGAATCGTCTGCTGACCAACACTCTTGCCATCGATTCGTGCCCAATTTCCCCCTTGGACGCAGAGGTTCAGATAGCTGGTGCAAGAAACCACACTTTGTCCACGGTGAAGTAGACAGTAGTGTACAAACGGGACCTCCCGGGCTGTGCTGTGGCATGATGCAACACATCATCTCGCACATTTTCTTATCTGGGCAACGCCGAGCGATGCATGCCACAGAATGAAACGTCATCTCCGAAGCTGCGTTAAGTGGTGTCCGGAAATACAAGCCCTGTTCCACGATTCGCACAGATGTATCGAATATCCCTTCCCCCGAGGCTCAAGGTTCGGGCAGTCCGGTGCTGAACAATGAATGGTCTTGTTAAAAAAGTGGACCTCGGCCGGCTTCAATCTCATGATGTCGTCGTCATTATCTGTCATTTTCAACAACAAGGCCACGAGGTTGGTGGATATTCGACCTTGAAGGCTGTACTACTTTGCATCCCACCGGAGGCGTGAGTGTAGCTTCAATTCAAGTCGATGAGATCGCATGGCCCCATTGTCAAACGATAAGCTTTCCGCATCGGTTCCGGGCCGTCACTTGCTTTGACCAAGATCATTGGGAGTCATTAGGGCAAAAAGCAAACAATACCATGAGCCGAACAAGCATGTTTACTACCAGACGCGACTTCCCGCGTGTCTTCTCCTAATGAACGCCACATCCAGGAAGCAATTAGCAACTCCAACAAACCAGTGGTTCTGCGTTGATAGCTGCTATTGATGTTACTGTGCTACGCAGGCGGGTTAGTATTCGCAAATGTCGTTGCCATCTATCCAGCCCAATTTGTCACTCAAATGAAACCTCGACTCCGGCCCGAGACTTCGCATGGTTGAAACTGCAGACGAAGCTGCCAGCCCGCTTTCACAAGGATACACTGGAAGGATGATCCTTGATATGCTCGCCGGGGCGAGTTCATCTTCTTTTCCACACGCCCACAGAGTGCAGACTCAGCTGAACTCGATGCAACGGACACCATCAGTTTGACCTGAGAGAACATACAGTATACATCTTGTGTAGATGGCGTCTTGGATGGTGAAATATTTGGTCAAAGTCCCGTGAGCAATAAGTGCTTGCTACGGGTGGCAATTCTGAAAATTGCAAGCTCCTCTGATGAAATATTTTCGCACCATGTCACCTAGCACCTGTCTTTCATGTCCCACGGCTGTATCTACCAACATCGGAGACGTTGTCAAAGGCACCTTGGGCTGGTCCCTTTCTTATTTTCTAGCCTCCTTTTACAATGACACGCCCCGCTCCTATATTTATTCCAGGCAGGAAAAAAAAAGGAAAAACAACCATTGACAAGAGCACACTGTGTTACAAGTCTCTCCCGGCCGGCCAAATCATTCTGAGATCCAGGCTCGTGTGCATGCCATCCGGTCTACAATATGCAGGTCTGCTTCAGGATAGTATCAGGTCACGAACTGGGATCCTCCGCAATTGCTCAACTTCAAAAAACGCTGCTTTGCATGTATTTCTGGGACGCTCACTACAACCCACAGCCGGCCCGCAAACACAGGGGCATAGCCAAAGCCCTGATTGACGCCTTTACGGGATCCCAAAACTACGGGAATCCGCGTGTCATCGTGGCTAGTTCACCATGTAGGTACCAGGAACAAGGACAGCCAAGACACAACAAGAATAAATGGCCCCATGATAGGTAAGCGGCTAGCTGGGGAGAAATTAAAAAAGAAACGTGGCAAAAACCAGTCCGACGTTTCCTTTGAAAAGCTTAGCTCCGGCAAGGATGCCCAGGCGCTGGCTGAATCCTTCCAATCTGTTAGCGCCGAAGGGCCCATGAATCTCGGGAAACCGTGATTCGTATTAATACCACTCGGCATGGAAAACTGACTTTCCGCATCATACCGGCAGGCAAGGCAAGTAAGTGACCGTTGACTGCGCTCCCAGCGGCGTGCTTCTCAGCCCCTAGGTCGATGGCCGAAGGGGACGGAGCAGGGCTATTCCATGCAAAATTGTTCGATTGTCCACATCACCACAACCACGAGATGTGTACACGAATAACGGGACTGTCTACAATATGCCATACAGCATGTACGTACAGTACTGCGTAATACCGACCCATTCGCAGGCGGAATCCTCCTTTCATCGAGCCAATAACCCTCCATTGCTTTGGGGAATACGGTTGGCTTCTGTTCGCTCTCTTCCTTTCGGTCGCATGCAGAATTTGATTATACCTGGCGCCCCTGCTACTTTGGTGTCGCGTGAGAAAAGAATTTTCCAGAAGTAGGTTTGCACTTCTTTACGAATTCGTGCTGTGGGTTGCGCCGGACCGCCAAGGCCGGCTGAGATAGATAGTTTCACCTCCGGAATGAGGTGGAACTAACATTGTATGTACTACTAACAGAATGCCTGCCAAGACTGCGAGAATAGGCGGTGTGCGGTGGCAAAAAGTAACGAAACTGCCGTCACATTGCCCTTTTTTTTTATTGAGCTGTGCGAAAACGACTCTAGGGTACGTAGCTTTGTCCTAACCGTGATACAACTGCATTGAGAAAGGTATATTGCAGCAGAAGATTAAAGACGAAATGCGAGTAAATAGGCCACAGCTCCCAAGGCACACAGGTGCAGAAGCACGTTCGCCTCGTCGTACCTTGTCCACCATCGTCCATGGATGCCCACCTCCTGTTTCTCAGACTTTTTGTAGTATTCTGAACCTAAATAAAACCAAACGCCGACGCTTTCTGTTTTATAAGACACGACTGTACCCATCCCCCGTAACGGAGCCCAGGTCCCGGGGAGGTTTATATAACGTACATGTTTCGTGGATGCACAAAAACCAAAAAAAAAAACTGCTCTGCTCCCATGCCTTATATCGCCGTGGGCGCGGCATCGAATCGCCAGCCCTTGCTTCGCATATTCATCTCAATCGACTTCCAAATCTGCTCCACGACCTCCTTGTCTCTGAAGCGAGAAGCGTCGGCGCCGTCGCCGCCGCGCCATCGATCGACGCCCGTCGACAGCACCCTGTGGCCCCAGCTGCGGATGCTCTCGGGGGCCTGCTCCCCGCGCCAGCCCACAAAGACGCCGAGCGTGTGCTTGAACAGCTCGTTGGGGCTGCTCCACTTGTAGTTCTTGAACTGCCACGTCTGCCCGGTGGTGAAGACGGCCACCACGCGGTTCCAGTACTCGGGCTTGAACTGCTCGGAGCCCTCTACGAGGATGAAGCGCAGGGGGCGGTTGGGGTCGATGGCCCGGATGACGCGCTGGACGTGGAGCATGCTGGCTGTCGAGGCGCTGGCGTCGGGGGGCACGAACTTGCCGTCCTCGAGGAAGGACCTCGCGTTGGACATGCGGAGGAGCGACGAGGCCGACGGCGAGAGGAGGATGATGGGGTCCGGTCTCCTAGTCGGGCCTTTCTGGTTGAGGGAGAGGGAGGATGCCGCGCCGGGGGCGGAGACCGCCTGGGCCTTCTTTTGGATAAACGGCGCCGCGAGCTTGCGAACGTGCGAGAAGTCCTGCGTGCGGTGGTTAGCTCTCGCCCATGTCGAGGGGTTGGTGGTCGGAAAGACAAGAAAAGAATGAATGCGGCCCCTCTGCGGGAAACGCCGCTGGACTTGTGATACGTACTGTCGGCTTGATCCCCCTCAGTACCGTGTTGCGGTCTCCCATCCTGCGCTCTCCATCGTAGACGCTCGCCAGGCGCGGATCCATGGTGCCCTTGCCGGCCCTGGCCTGCGCCGCGGTCGACACGGCTCCGGATTTGGTCGCGGGAGCCGTGCCGGCGGCGGCGGCAGCGGCAGCGGCAGCATCCGCATCCCCGGCAACAGGTTTGATGTATTCGCTCTCCTCGCTGGCCGCCTCGAGCCAGGTGATCAGGTCGAGTCGTTCGATGAAGCCCAGGTTCTGCACCTTGCCCGTCGACCCGGCCGCCGCGAGCTGCTCGTTGAGCGTCGTTGCCGAAGCATTGTACTCTGGGATGGCGAGCTCGCGATTCAGCCAGGCAAAATAGATGCTGCGCAGATCGACGGGTTTGTCGTTGGAGATGAAGCGCGTCGGGGTCTCGATGGCGAGGGCGATGCCCTGGGCTGAGAATTGCAGGTGGCTTGCTTCGGAGAGGGGACATTCTTTGGCGCCCGGGTCGTCTGACGCGCTGGGAATGAAGGGCTGGCTGCTGGAGATGGCTTTGCGAAGGAGTACGAGAGGGTCGTGGTCGGCGGAGGCCATGATGGGCGGACTTGCGATGGGGTTGGCGGGAGAAGAGGTGATGTGTTGAGAGGTCGGTAGAGGAAGGGGAGGAAGGAGAGGATTTGTCGGTCGATCAAATGTCAATTTAAATCATCGAGCGGGTATAAAGATGGCGGAACAAATGGCGGTGCTCTTCCCTCGGTGGCCAGCAGTGGTGGTTTGGCTGTGAGGTGGTGAAGCTTTTTTGGTCAAACGTAGTTTTGGAGCTGGGGTTGGGAGCTGTTGCAGTGGTCATCTGACCAATCAGCACTTAGTCTGAGTGCGGGTGTAAGTGGTTCTATAAACACAGCAACAATGTATGAAAAAGTATTCAAATAATTTCCATACATCCATTGTCTTGTTTTTCGTAAATATAGTAGCTTATTGTTCACATATTTGTACTCTGCTCTTGTCATTTTGGGGGCATGACGCAGACTAAATTCGTCATGCTTGATTGTGTGTCCTTCAACCATGACAACCTCAAAAGACCTAGCTGACAGCAGAGTTTAAATTCCGCATTAGCACAGTCATTGTTGTAAATATCTCGTCGTTCAATCGTGATCTTCATTAATATGCGGATTCTCTCAGTCTAAGATATGAAAAAAAAACTGTCAGTTTCTCCTTTACTCAATGTCTCACGCAGTTCTAGCGCCGAAGTAGCATCCAACGAAGATGATACACTAGGCCAGCGCAATACCAAGCACAGCCTGACTCATAATCTCACCAGCGCAAGGGAACTAAGAAACGATAATCATACAGTTCAATAATAAATACAGTCATAGCATGTCCGCTCAAATGCTGCCGTCTCAGACAGCTCCACCACTGTCCCCTACGTACGAGATCAACCACAGCAGCAAACCACTACCCCTTGGCTCATGATACAAGGCCCGTATTCTTCACTTGTAATCGAGACTTGCGAGCGAACGGCATTCTTAGCAGTCAATCAATCAAGTACTTTGCTCCGCAAGTCTGGCGGAGAGGCTTGGAGAGATGTAGCATCACATTGGTCGCATAAGGAACGTACACTACATCTAGAATAATAAGATAGTATCGAATTGTATTCTTGTGGACCACATAGCCATGCTGGACTGTACTGTACTAATATCTAGCACTATTCATAAAGTATGCAAAACCGGGCCGCTTCATCGCGACCAACAATGCCACTGTATCAACAAAGCCATAAAACAAAGCTGCCTCCCACGGATTCTTATTGGTTTTACCGCCCAGCTCTAGCGCCAACGCCATTGAAACATAGACAAAGGAAGCCTCAACCCCCCCCCCCCCAAAAAAGTAATAATAATCGAAAGCTCACAAATCGCGACGTCTATATGCCAAAAACCAGCTTCATGCGCTCGTATGTATAAAAGCTCACTGCCACCATGGGGATCACCTTGACATAGCCAATTGTCAACCCGACAAAGAAGCCTCGGAATCCGCGTTCTTGGAAGATGAGTCTGGCCGTCTCGCCAAGACGCATCCTGTGACCGTCCCCAACAGCACCGCTTACTTGCATGCGCCGTCTGATGACCTCCAACGGGTACGATGAAGTTTGCGAAATCATACCAGCGACACCACCGCTCGTGAGCTCAGCCCACGATCGGAGCGGCGCGGGCTTGTCCGAGGGCTGGTTCTTCCGCCGGGGTAGGGTCGTATATTGGGCGACTGAGGGGTGGCGCATCAAGTCGCTGACGGTGTCGTGGGTGAGGAAGGACATGCCCGCGTACGGAAGCATGCCCAGCAGCGTCGGCGCAAAGCCACGGTAAAAGTTGATAAGTCCCGTCTTGGGGACAATCGAACCGGCCACCGAGGCAGTAGACTCTACGGCGGCGGCAACAGGAGCTGGGGCGCTGGGGAGTCTTGCCGTGGCCGACTTCTCGACAGGGCTCGAGTTGTAAATCTGTCTGCAGATTGAAGACAAAGACGAGCGGCCGTCCTTCTTTGTTTCAAAGGCCAGCCGTACTCGAATGAGCTCCAGGGGATATGTGAAGAAGACAGAAGTGACGCCGGCAAGACTGCCGCTGAGGAGTCGTCGCAGCGGCGTTTCGTACTCTTTGCCAGGAATAATCATGGCTCGAATCTGCTCGTAAGCGAGGAACTTGATGCCGGCGTAGGGAAAAATACGCAGCAGCGTAGCCGAGTGGCCTCGGAAGAGTCCCCGGCCACCTTCGAAGTGGTAAATGTCTCTGATGGCGGTTGCGACGCCGAAGGAAGATCCTGTATATTTTGCGAAGTGGGGATTGCTGGCCTGGAAGAGGATCTTGACTCGATCTAGCGGAGCGACGATGGTCTTGGCCTGATGAAGGAACAGTTCAAGTTAGCAGACGGATTCTTGCAGCACGAGTCTCTTTCTGGCACTCGAGGATTGTGCTTACAGCGCAGCCTGCGACCCCCCCGGCGACACCAGATCGCCAGACATAGTCCCAGGATCGAGTCCTGTTTCGGGGTGTTATGGCTTCGTCGTCGGTGGGACACACAGCCGCGTCCCTGTTACTGGCGACGGCAGGAGCCATGGCAGCCACTCCGACATGTTGGCGCACTCTGCCGCGAGCAAGTTCCGTCACCGAAGCATGGTCCATGAGGGGGGAGGACGTGGGCATTCCGGATGCCGACAGCACGTGGAGAAGTTGCGATGCAGGAAGTCCCAGAGGACCGACGCCGCATGCCGGCCCCGGGTACGTAGGAATGATGTGGCGGACTCGGTCGACGGGAATGGCGACGATGAGGAGAGATTGTGTGAACAAGACTGGCTCTATTTCAATCAGCAACAAAAGACAAGGGTGGGCGAGCGTCGGCTGAGGAAGAGGGAAGCAGCAGAGGTTGTGTGTGCCAAAGACAAGTTGTCAGTGGAAATGGAAAAGATGAGGAATTTCAAGTTTCGGCACGCCACGGGACCCCGGCTATGGCTGCCCACGAGACTTGGGGGACATCTGGGGGCTCGCGGCTTGGGGACAGCGAACCGGCAGCCTGTAATCGGGCTCTGCACTCCGTGTTTGGACATTGATGGCACTGGGGGTTTAGCGGACGTCATAGTATTGAACGCCTGGCCTGCAGGGCATTTGGGCCTGGCCTGGCCCGTTGGCCAATGACGTGCCTGGGCCCTGGAGCAGTCTGGGGGCATCCGGAGGCAGTTGGATTCTTCAACCGTCGTCCCCAGCGTCCGAGAGCCACAGAAGCGTTTCCAGCCGAGGATTACCGAAGCCCCTCGTTGAGCCGAAAGCCAATCCCAACAGCTCGAGTTCCCGTTACCAAAGGGTATCTGGACCACTTTTTGCTACCCTCACCCATTTCTCACATAACTGTGGACTGCACGTTCGCCCACACGGACTGCACACCTCTTGCATGTCAGATAACGGCCTCATTGGCACCATCGCCCCGGGAACCCGTCTTATGTCTGGACCGCCACAAGATGATGCTGCCACCGCGTCGAGCGTCCTCTTTCAAAGCAGCGACAAGACTGTCGTCTTGCTAGATGTCCCACGCTCCCTGGAAGAAGCGCAAGTCCTGCCTGGCTGCCGATTGCTGCGCCGGGTCTACTCGGATCCGCCGCCGACCAAACCCTTTCCGACGCCGGATCCGAAGAGGAGTCGACGTCGGGCTGGTCATCGCGGTCGCTGCGACCACGCGTCTGGACATGATGGCGGTGCGGCACACGACTGGCCGGCCCAGCCCCCTGCTGCCCAAATAGCCGATTTGATGACCGCCGCAGCTGTTCAAAGTGCTCTGCAAGTCATGTGCGACGGCTACAACGGCCCGTTCCATCTTCCTCGCAAACCATTACCTGCCGACATCGAGGATGTGAATGCACCGTCTCCGCTACATGTCCAGGACGCCAGACCGCTGTATGGATCCATCCAGGACCTAAGACAAGTCTTTGCTGACACCGCACCCGTGTTCAAGCTGGTCGTTCTTGACCCTCCCTGGCCAAATCGTTCTGCCAGAAGACGCAGCAATAAATATGCCACTGCTACTAACCTAGATGACATCCGAGCTCTGCTGACGAGCATACCCATCTCGGCGCATTTAGCAAGCGATGGCCTGGTGGCCGTCTGGATCACCAACAAGGCTAGTATCCCTGAGCTTCTCACATCCCCCGCGGGGGTATTCGCTTCTTGGGGCGTAGAATTGGTCGCTGAATGGACGTGGCTCAAAATTACAGCTGCCGGCGAGCCCCTCTACGACGTTGAGTCGGTCTGGAGGAAGCCATGGGAGAAGATTCTCATAGCCAAGCCCATCGGTGCGCCCGCACCGCCTGGTCTCAAAGCCAAGGTCATCGTCGCCGCGCCAGATGTTCACTCCCGAAAGCCAAATCTGCGGCTGCTGTTCCAAGATGTCCTGGGGCAACAGGACTATGCTGGCCTAGAGATATTCGCCCGCAACCTCACGGCCGGCTGGTGGAGTTGGGGAGACCAGGTCCTCCATTTTCAAGGCCAACAGTACTGGGAGCAATCATGTTGAATCTGCCCATGCTGTACCTTTGAATCATTGTTCCCACATCAAGAACAAAAACCACTTGTTCGTTTCATAGTGCCGGCGCCACCCGGTTTTGCCTTCTATTGGCTACAGTAATATACAGATATGCCTGCGTATCGTACATGGCTCACGCAGTCGACGTTGACGCGTTACTCTCCACGTCCAGTCCCATACGACTGAAACCTATTTTTTCCACTGCCCAGCTTTGTGTTGCTCCCCTCCGCCGCCTATCCTCTCAAGCGGCAGCATCCTTCCTCTGCGCTTCCTTCAGCACAGAATCCCACTTGGGATCCAGGGCCACTCCGTTATCCCACTTGACCTCTCCCCTGAGCATCCTCTCCGCTAGCCCTTTCAACTCTTTCCTCTCCTTGCTCATCTCCTCCTTGCTTCTCATTGCAATCTCAAACTTGTGCTGGTTGATCTGGTCCTCGTTTCTCTTCTCCATCAGGTCCTCCCTCATCTTCCAGAGCTCATGGTTCCACGGCTCCAGGTCGGTCGGCGCCTCGGGCCACTGGAAGGGCTTGGCCAGCTCGACCGTCATCATCTTCAGCGGCTGCGGGCGATACCACGACCGCGAGTGCGAGTTTCGCTGCGTGAGGGGCTGCTGCTTCACGTACGACCGCACCTTGGTCACCTCCACGTTGTATAGGTTCCATAGGTAGTCTCGGAGGTCGAACTTGGTGAAGCGCAGCGGTACCTGGAAGCAGGCTTCGTTGGGCGGGAGGTGTTCTTTCCGGAGAAACGTAATTACATGGTTGGGACTGTGCGCGAACGGGAAAAGGTTCTTGATTAGCTTTAGGAGGCAAGGGCGGGTGTGGCGAGTTTTGGGGATAGGAGAGGGGGGGTTTGTATCGTACAGGAAGACTTGTTTTTGGCCCAGTCTGAAGCCTGGTAATTGTCGGGCTACTGCTTTTGCGGCTTCGGCCATTGTGCGTTGGCGTGGTGAGGTTCGTCGCGATACGCTCTCCGGATGGCGTCCCAAAATATTTCTTGGAGAGAGTGGTGATTGGCTTGGCGGCGGAAGGTTCGATTACGTAAGCAGGTCTCCTGGATCAACCTGCTTCTGTTTGCTTGTCATGACATCTAAGGGTAGTGTTGCATGAATCAATAATTGTAAAGGAATTATATTTTTTTATACTACTCATATCTTTGTTAGGTATCTAGGTGCCGCCAATGATGCACTTGTATGCTCAACTGATATCAGGTGCGGCCAAACAGGGTGAAGCGACCAGGCCAAAACGGGTGGGCGTGGAAAAGCGAGAGATGTATGGAGTGACGCCCAGCATAAATGGCTGCACGCGCGGTGTCCATTTTCGCTTGATGACATTATTATGCACTGGCGTCAACTGCCCACATGCAGGTGTTGTACATTCTTTCCATCACAACGCAAGCGCCTGGCTTCTCGTGCTCTGGACGGAGCAGCAAGTAGTCTTGGCCCCACTCATGTGCGCTGTGCTTGTCAAGCATTCAGACGCAAGCCAAATAGTTTCAATGTCACTTCGCTGTCACAAGGCATAGAAATCCTATTTCGCAGACCACTTTGTGAACATCTTCTACTCGTCGCCAAATGGGATGGAAGTATTAAAAACGTCATTTCCTTTGAAAAACATACAGTTGGCTCCTTTGTCGCGACGCCATCCTCGAGTAACCATCATGAATGAGAGGACAAGCACGTTCCCCAAACAACACGTTTCTTTGTCACACCACGGCAGCATCTTCCATGCCCGGTGCCCCTTACTTGGATGAGTTTTCGCTCGTCAACATTGTACCCTTCTAAAAGCCATCAAATTATTACTTTGATTAGCCGGCATGGAAACTCCGCCCTCACCCTCGCTCTCCAACACACCCCGACCACGCCTCGCCAGAACCTCATCGGTATCCCCGCAAAATACTACCACTGAACCGCAGATGCCTGTCAGTATCAAGCGGGAGGAGGAAGAGGATAGACACCCTGTTATAGAAACAATAGACCTATTCGATCAAGGGTATGAAAGTTCGGTCGATGCTCCTGTTACTGCAGCCGCCGATTTACGACTGGAGCTGGAGCAAGAAAAGAGAAGTTATCCCGGAGCAAGCACATGGGCCGACGAGGAAGAGAAACTGTTCGAGATTTTGTTTCAGAGGGCAGACATACCATTACTTCCGGCGCATTGGCATGTGGATTTTAGGGGTATACCCGTCGTGGATAGCATCTTTTCCGCGGGTGATGGGGTGCCTTCCATCATATACAGCCGGTCAATGGAGAAAGAGTTTCAAGGTAAATTGAAGTGACTCATGAAAAAACAATCAAAAGACAATTGCCATCGCCGTAATTCAGGCTAATATGACGTGCAGCAACCATGGCCCTCATTCGTCTCATAGACCTGACATCTTCCGTCCGAACCACCGTTCAATCGGGTCTGCGGAAGAAAGCTACACAACTTATTAAAAGGTGTCTTGACAAATATATCGCATGGGCTGCCGAGGACGGAGGCTACTCTCATCTTAAAATCGTACCAAACATCACTACTGCAGTCATGGATGCCGAGTTGGGAGAGAAAGACATCACGAGTACCATGAAGAATCGCATGCGTGCGCTAGCCATGGCCCAGAGAGAATTCCTGAGAGTCGATCGAGATGATTCATTTTGGGATGTATCCGAGGTTAGGGGGGGAGAAAAAGGCGCCGACCTTTCCACCTTGATAGTGGAAAAGTACTTGAAGAGAGTTGAGGAGCTCAGCGAATCGGCCAAGGCACCGTCAAGAAACGGCTCTCGTCAGGGCACACCAAGACCGGGGAGCGCATCACGCGACGATACAACACCAACAAGAAGGCGGTCCCCTCCATCACCAATATCTAACGGGTTGACCCCTGATGAACAACAGAGTACTCGCGGCCAAATCAAATACAGATACAGACCCCCCGTTGTATACGGACTCTTCATCCTCCGCACATCCGTCTTCCTTCTCACCGTCGACAGCGCAAAGGGTGATTCTGCGTACGTCAGTTTCCATGTAGACATGCATTTCATGGACCGCCACCAGAGCGTGTGGAATGCGCTTACGGCAGCAATAGCGGTATGCCTGGCAAGAGATCAGCTTTCTGAGCGGACAGACGAATTCGAAGAGTTGTCTGCTTCTGCGGAAGAGAGTGAAAGCGAGGCGTGAGTTTTGCATGGAAAGATGTACACTCAGACGTAATTTACTTTGCGGGCATTGGGCTAGTTACTTCATAGATACCCGTAAAGTCGGCATCGAGTGCCTTCGCATAGAGCGTTGCATCAATACCAGTCATGAACATTTTGCAGCCAAAACCACCACTTCAGAGGCAAAACAAGTACAGTAGTAATGTTCATTTGGAGAGTCGGCATCCATGGATACCTCTATGTACCGTAAAATGCCCTGCCCAGGTCCATCTATCAGCCTCCAACGCCAAACAATGATGTGGCATCTATATTTCTTTGCTCCTCCCCAACACGCTCTTATGCCTCCCTTATTTCCGTCTCATACAAGTAGCAACCCGCTCGTTTTTATATACATGGCTCCTTTAGCTTCAATAAAAAAATGTTCAAAATGCCGTTGGGCTCTTTTGCCCCTTTACCATGCGGTGTCTATATTACAAAAAGAACACACAAAAAAAACGCCCCCCAGTTTACAAGTCGTCCTTCTCAGCAGGCATCATCACCTCTAGCTGGTGCAGCAACCGCTGGTACAGGAAGAGCATACACCCGCTCTGGATAAAGGTCCATACGCCACGAGGGCCGACGCCACGGAACCACCCGGCCAGACCTTCAGTGCGGTAAATAACCTTCAGACCGGTGATGACGGAGGATGTTTCCAGGGCGATGGCACCAGGTTGCGGGCGGTGCGTGCTGGGTGACGATGTTGAGATGTGGCGCTTCTGGGAGGAGGCCACCTCCTTCAACTTGGTCACCTGGTCCGAGGAGGGGTTGACTTGTGTTTGGAGCCGCGTCTTGACCACGTCGAGAGGGCAGGTGATGACGCCCGCGAGACCACCTGCCGCCGCGCCGGTGAGAAGCTCCAGCGGCACGCCGATTTCGCGGCTCTGCTTGTACACGCGGGCCCAGGCGTGGAACTGCTCCCAGAACATGAACTGGAGCGCGGAGAAGGGCAGGTCTCGGTACAGCGTGGCCTTGTACCCGTAGAAGAGGGCCGACGCGCCTTCGGTTCGGACAATGGTGCGCGCGGCGTCAAGCGTGCCCCGGTAGTTGTATCCGGATCGGAAATGGGGGTTGTTGTAGCGTCCCTGGAGCTGTAGTCGGGTCTTGAGGACCTCGGAGGGGACGTAGACGACGGAGGCGGCGAGGTCGCCGAGGAATCCTGCGGGCCGTGTCAGCAAAGCTTTCCGCCGTGCCGCTCAAATTGCAGCAAGTTTCCAGACGAGGGATGGGAGCTCACCTGCTGAGAGATATGCCAAGTGGTGCTGTAAGCCGTGGTCTATCAGGAATCGCTTGCTCCATTCATATGTGCCGAAAAACATGACGGTGCCGGGAAACGAGCCGCCCAGCGCAGGGATCCATCCCCCGTACAGACCTCGTCTTACACCTTCCTGTCTCCATATTGTGTAGTATGATCGTCCCAATGATGTGTATTTTGACGGGATGTTCGGATCGCCCTGCTGCCGTGTCTTGACTGTATCCAGCGAATGCATGAGCAGGTCGCCAGTTGAGCCGCCAATACCACCAGCAATCATGGCCTAGAAACCCCAAAAAAAGCAGTTAGTACCTCGTCCCTACCGACCATGAATACCAGACCAAATCACAGACACGAGAAGGAAAGAAACGCACATGGAGATAGGGCGGCCGGCCCTCCGTTTCGATATCTTCGCTCTTCATGGTACGCCCGCTATCAGACGCTATGACGCTGCTTCTGCCCGGGGAGTGCTTCGTGTGAATACCGGCATTGCGAGGCGGCTCTGCCAACCCGACGACGTGCTCGTCGCTACTGCTGTCGCCGGCCGAAGCAGACGAGCCGGCGAAGAAGAAGTTGGAAAGTTGTGAGGCGAGGGGCATGGCCCAGACGCCCGCCGCCGTAAATCGCAGAGGAACAAAAAAAAAAGACAGGAGACGGTAGGAAAAACCGCTTGGGTCGGGGTTTCGCGGGATCAACGACGCAGGGATATAAATTGAAACGCTGGGTGAAAAAAAAAATTGAAAACGGGCAAGTCAAGACCACAGCGCCAAGTGAGCGATTATCGCTGTGCTCGTCTATTTTGCTGAATGCTGTGATGGGGGCTGTTGCGTCAACGACGTTGGATGCTCGTCGCGCGTGTGCCTCGAGTGGTCAATGGCGGCGGCCCTGCACCCAGCAGTGAGCGCATACAATTTTTTTGCTCCGGTGCCGACTTTATCCCCGAACCACTTTTTTTCCTCCAGTCCCTTTTGCTGGGACGGCGTCGCTTTGCTCTGTGCCTGGGCGTCCGCCTCACCCCCGGTGGGCTCGCTCTGCAGTCCACCGGTGCTCCGTACAGTACAAGCACAGGGCTTATGGGATCACCGATGGTCCGTGCGCTGCTTGCTGAAGGGTCAGGTTCAACTTGGAACTCATTGACTCTTCAATGTTACCTACTTGGTATGAACGAGCAACTCAGCAGCTACCTACCTAGCGGTACTCGGAAGAAAAAAAAGATAACGCAGCGGTACATCTACCATGTCAACCATTGCATTGGGCATTTTATCTAGTCCTATAACCATCCAACTCTATGCATGACCACCGGTACATCCTACAAGCCATAATATACACACAGGTCCACTGTCATTGACATCACATCATACAAAGCCATCATTCCACCAGCTTGCTCTCATGCTCCCACCACCTCACCTGCCCAAACTTCCTCAACGGATACACAATGTGCGTAACCCTCCCCGTCAATAAGCGCTTCGACACAGGTCCGTACGTATTGCTGTCCAGGCTCGATCCCGCCGGCCCATCTCCTTCCACCCAAACATGGCCCTGGGGTATCCTGACCGTCGGTATGGGATAGGGCTTCTTGGTCCTGACCACATCTCCTTCAAGCGCAACCACCCTCTTTACGGCAACCACCTCCGGATTATACGGACTCCTAGACGTTGCTGTCAGACATTGATGCTGCAACAAAAGTCACGACCCTGGCCCAAAACCACCCGAGTCTAGAGGGCTCCCCCGGTGTAAAGAGGCTCAGGCACACAAACCTCAATGTGACAACCATGCCTCTCTCCAACCCTTCCTGCGGCGACCACTTGTAATTCAGAAAAAAATCTCGCCGCAGCGTCGAGTCCTTGTCCTCGTTCAGGAACGGGTACATGGACGAGCCGTCCACAAACGTCAGCTCTGCGACGTGCATGTTGAACCAGGCAATGACGGGGATCCACGTCGCGAAGCCCATCAGATTCAGAGTGACGGCTCGGGCTAGCCCGGATGGTGGTATTCGTAGGCGCGACCATATCGAGCCCGGCGCCATCGGTGCATCGACTCCCCCAGAGAGGTACACGAGGGCGCGGGGAAGCGTGGTATATGAGTCGACGTTGTGAAGTGCGAGGTTGAGGTTGGGTAAAGCATTCCAGCAAGCAGCCTTTACAAATGGCAAACTCGAGTGCCAGGCTGGTGCTGTTGGTGGCGCTGGCAGTTGGCGGTGGACCCTCGAGCTCCATTCAGGGTCCAGTCAATCCGACCGCAACACAGACATGACCTTTGGATTGCGACGTACGACTATTCCGGCGTCTTTGCTCTAGTTTCTACCCCAACGCAGAGTACAGCTCCCAGTCATGTATGTCAAGTCTTCAATTCATGCATGTTTCTTTTTCATGCTATTGCTTCAGTCTCCAACGCCGTTTTGAGGGCGTCACCTGCTATTTCAAAAAAATAGCTTACATGAAATGCCAATATTGACCAGCCTTTTTCACCAACCCATGCCATTCTTATCATCATGCGGTCCCTACCTCCAAGTTTTTACAGTATAGCCTACGGTGAGCCGCTTACATCTCGTATTGCATCGACCCAGTGCGACCTCGTAACGGTCTCGGGATATCGCCGATGGGCACCAGCCTCCTTGTCAATCCGGACCCGAGTTTAGCAATGAATACTACTGGCCTTCTTCTTCCCTTCTTGCTTGCTATGAGGCTGCCTAGATCGTCTCGGGGATATTGTCGTCGCTCTCGCTCATGCTCTCGTCACCGCTGACTTCGGCGTTTTCACGTTCTCTCTTCTCCATGAGGGCCTGCAGCTCAGCATCATCGCTCTCGGTAACAGCCTTGGGGTCCATTTTAACAGTTAGGTTGCCGCCGGCAGCCTCGATGCTTTTTCTGATGCTCTCAATGGCCTCCTGCAGGAGAATAATGCCCTGCTGCTTGTCGAAGGAAGTGCTGGTGAGCACATACAAAGGGGGCGAGACAAGCTTGACCTTGACTTGAGTGTCGGAGTTGGCATCCTCAGAGTCGTTCTTGGCCTCGGCAGTTCTCAGTGCAGTCTTGACAGCGTCGATGCCCTCATAGCCAAAGCAGGTGACTTCAATATCAGCTCGAACCTTGGTTCGCTGAGGAGTAAGTCGCTTGCTAATGTACAGCTTCAGCTCGTCCTCGACGGGCTTGCTGGGGAAAGTCATATCGTTCCAGATTTCGGGGTTGCTATCGACGAGATTAGTACCTGACCCCCAGATAAATGACGTCCTAGCGAAACGTACGTAATAGACAGCTTAAAGGCATCGATGGCGTGGCCATATTTTCGGTTCAAGGGCCAGGCAATGGACTCGTACAACGTCTCAATAGGAGTCTGGGTCTTCTCGGCGACGTGTCTCATGATCAGATGGACGGTCTTGCTCTTGTTATATCGCTCCTCGCACTTGACCATATCCTCGGGAGACACTCGTCGCTTGGAAAGATCAATATAGCCTGCCGCCAACGTTAGTTTCCCTCAATTCTTCTCTCTAGCTCTATTGCCTGGGTAGCAACTGGCCAACGCAGAACATTCACGTACCCTTCTCCTTGTCCACTCGCAGCACAACGACAACCTCGTTACGCCCGACTCTAATGAGCTTCTGGATACTTCGAATACGTCGTCGCGACAATTCAGAGAGGAGAATCATGCCATCTATGTTGTCGTACTCCAGGAGCTTGACGTAAGCACCCATTTCGGCGATCTACCCACGTATTCTTGTCAGACTCATGGACCCCCGTGCGATCGCCTGCGTCCAGCCCCTTCCAAACGCACCTGCTTGACATTGACCATGACGAAGCTATCAATCTCCGGGAACTTCTCCTCGTAAAAGCGGCAGTTCGTTAACGACATATTGGCGGTGTTATTCTGAATGTCGACAAGATCAAGGGATTAAACGTTCGGTTTTCTTGGTGACAGAGAAGAGGGGAGGTGGGGTTCGCCGGTCCCAGAGATATATCGGCACGTTTGCACGCTTAAAACTGCACCCAGACCCGTCGTTTGTGAAGTGTAGCTATTTCGAGAGAGGTGTGAAAATTTTCGAAATGTCGGGAATTCAGTGGCGCGACTCGTTTCGAGGTTTATCAGTTAGACCGTGGCCGTTCGAAAACTTCGTGAGTGAAGGGTTTGGTGGTTAAAAGAGAGTCATAATTTTGACATTTTCGATTTGCGGCGAACTGGATGGTGGGGTGTGGCGGGGTGTGGCTAGTTTCCGAAGCGGTATGCGGCGGCAGAACTAGCCCAGCTGCTGTTCATTGCTCTTCGAGTGGCCATGCAGAGGGTGTGAGTGGCCTGTAACCTGGGCAGAGACCTGCTGTCGCCCACGTGACTGGAAGTAAACAACCAAAAGCTGCGACTCATCCAGTTGCACACTGCTAGAGACGCACTGGCGAGTGTCGACAATGGCTCCAGGTAGGTTAATTTTCCGGCCCATTGGGAAAATTCCACAGCCAGATCCGATTACATGGCTAATCGCGCAAACAGCTACGCAATTTGAACTCTCGCCGCCGCCGGGCGACGCCGTTTCCGCGGTCGCATTTGCGCCGTCCGACTCCAGCAAACTCCTCGTGTCGTCGTGGGACAAGAAAGTATACAGCTACAATGTCGCCAGCGGCGGGTCGGAGGGCAGTCTGACCAACACGTATGAGCACCGAGCTCCCGTTCTAGATGTCTGCTTTGGAGCGAATGATAATGAAGCCTTCACGGCAGGCATGGACTGGACTGTTAGCAGGTGTGTTTCTTGAAGCTGCTCGCAAGTGTACTACACGTAACTAATTTTTGTGCTCTAGATTGGACTTGGAAACTGGAGATATAACACCCCTGAGTAAACATGCTGCGCCCGTTCGCCGCGTCGTGTTCAGCAAGGATCACAGTAAGCCCCATCTCCCCTATCAAACCGTGCCTCTGCTAAACAATATCCAAGATATCCTTGTCTCTGCCTCATGGGATAGTACTCTCACTTTACACGATCTCTCCTCCACCAGCGCTCCAATCCGCATTCCGCTCCCCGCCAAGCCACACGCTATATCCTCCAGTCCAACCAAGATCGTCGTCGCCATGACGGGCCGCATCATTCACATCTACGACCTCAACGCCATCACGAAGCTCTTCGCCTCGGGCGGCACTGAGCTGAAACCTTGGCAAACACGAGAATCATCACTTCGATACCTAACGCGTGCTGTGGCATGTATGCCCAATGACGCAGGGTATGCGACGTCCAGCATCGAGGGCCGTGTAGCCGTGGAGTGGTTTGAGGATACGGCAGAGTCGCAAGCTCGAAAGTATGCGTTCAAGTGTCATAGACAACCAGCACCGGACGGTGATGGTGATGTTGTCTACCCTGTCAATGCGCTGACATTCCACCCTGTTCATGGGACATTTGCTTCAGGAGGCGGAGATGGAACTGTTGCGCTGTGGGATGCCGAGGCCAAGAGGCGATTAAAGCAGTATCAAAAGTTTTCGAATGGCGTTGCGGCGCTAGCATTTTCTAATGATGGTAAATACCTAGCTGTTGGAGTGTGTCCTGGGTTCGAGACTGGCCAGGAGGACTACACAGGCGCTGGTGCTACGTCTGTTTTAATCAGGGAACTTGGTGAGAATGAAGCAAAGGGCAAAGGTGCAAAGTAAAGGATTCACAGAAATGTACGAATTTGGAGCAATATGGCAGAAAAACCAACCTGAACTAGATGGCGTTCAGCTAGGGGACATAGTATTGTGTGGTGACTGGTGTTTCTTCAGAGTCCTGATGGCCAGGTTTTAAAATCGGTATGTAGATACCCCTGCAATGAAATAAAGTTATGACCATTGTAATCGGCAACATTGACACAAAGCTAGTACACGGTGGGTATAGTATCATCACTGGTGTTAAATAAGTGTAGGTATTCTCGTTGTGGTGGCCTGTCCTAAGCCGGCCCCCCGAATCATACGGTAGACATAAAATCATGGCTGTGGGTAATACTGCCGGTACGGCGTGGCTGTATCTTCAAATTCATCATGATGTTGACGGTATGGTAACCAGCGCCAACTATACGTTTTAACCGAAGTGTTCTACTCCCCTGTCTTCTTCGGTATAATAGGCTATGCGATTGTCAGAAAACCGAGTTTCAGAGCGTGGAGAACATGGGATCAAAACACACCCTGGCTTCTTCAACATGTTCAAAATTTCCGGCAGTGGACAGAAGCCAGACGTCCTGTAAAGGATTGGGTACCTGTCGGCCCCATAGAAAGTTATGAGGGAAGCCAAGATCAAAGGGCACGGCGGCCTCGATTAATCGAATTTCTTCGTCAGTGAGCTCGATTGTAAGTGCCTCAATGTTGCCTTTGAGGTGCTCAACCTTCCTTCCTCCTATGACAGGGAACACATAGGGCGTCTTGTGCATTACATACGCCAAGGCAATACTAGTGATGGCTGTGTTTTTGCGGATGGCGATCTCCTCAAGTACCCGACTTGTTTTGATATCGGTGTCGCTAACCTCTGTCCTGCGGCCTTCACTGGATCTTTGGGCCTGCTCAGTCTTGAAGTTTCCGCCGCCAAGTGAGCCCCAAGGAGTGATGGCCATGCCTTCAGCCTTGCACATCGGAATGACATCGCGCTCCAAGTCTCGGCAAGACGCGGACCATCGACCTTGGTAGACCGAGAACTGGCGAAGTCCGTGGTTTCGAGCATATTCATTGGCCTTGCTATACGAAGGGTTAGCCATATTTGATCGGCAGAAATGAGGAGTAGATGTTTTGCACACCTCACAATCCAAGCCGGGGCATCGCTGATTCCCAAATACAGGATTTTGCCTGTAGCGACAAGTTGATTCAAGGACTGCATGACTTCTGGTATTGACGCGCTGTAGTCCCACCAATGGATGTACAAAAGGTCGATGTAGTCAGTTTGCAGCTTCCGAAGGCTAGCATTGACTGATACATGTAAACTCTTGGTACCATTTCCAACACAGTTGGCCATGATATGAGGATGATTAGGGCCAGCTTTGAAGTTGGTGGTGTACTTGGTTGAAATGACTACATGCGAGAGTAAATGATGAGCGATCAACGCCATTACCTGTTGGTAGATGGGGGTCGATAGACAATTCGTAGTATTCAACGTACCCATCTGGTCACGATTGCCGCGCTTCTTCATCCACTCGCCAATCCATGTTTCCGATTGCTCGAATTGGTAACTGTTTGCGGTGTCAATGAAATTTCCTAGATCAAAGAAGGCTATTAGCGATCCGCCCTGAAGGTCTGGTTCTGGAGTTCGATCTGGCTCAGTCTCGTTCATACGCCTTACCTCCCTGCCGTGGCGGCGTTAGCAAAGTTCACACTGACGCATCTGACGCCACTTCTAAATAGGCTGCTTGAAGAGTAACTCACTTGCTCGAAAAAGAAGTCGAGGATTTTTTCGGTGCTCTCCTGGTTGCATTCCCCCATCCAATCAGCCCTATGAGTGTCGATCCGTCAGTTTGATGTTCCTTGTCCAACAATGGCTGCATCTCGTTTCGTACCAAGCATCACCAAAATTCATAGAACCGAGGCATAGCGGGCTGACGCGGACAGAGGCAGTGGGAGAGAGAAGGCGGTAACGGGACAAAGGTGACTTTGGTGCCCCATTCTGAGGCAATGCAACATTCATGGTGGTCTGGGAGCTGAAGATCAAGGCAAAATAGTGAAGGCTCTACTGGGGCAGGGCAAAGTCATAAAGGGAGGGTAGTCGTCGGAGATGGAGGGTCTAAGAATGCAGAATAAAGTCGTTTCAGACACAAAGTATATCGTTGACCTGTGTAAAGTAGCCTGGGGACGGCCTTCAATTTTATGTTTGACCAGCTCCAACGCAGTCACTACGAGCCTTGCTTCCTGCTAGGGTAGAACGAGCTAATGAAGCCGCTCCTTCGCCAATACTTGCCGAGTTTACATTGTAGAAAGTGACGGTAGTTTTAGACCGGATCGGACAGTGGGCACGCGGTAAGCGCCGCAGTCACCTTGGATAGTCGAAGAGGAACCGCGGTCAAGCCAAGGCGGGGATCGACGTCGGGAAAGATGTGATCCAGGCATCTTGAGTGGCTCCAGAAAGAACCGAGAAGACGGATGCGAATACTCCCGAGATGCCACCCCATGAGCGTTGATGCTGCAGGTGCCACCGGCTCAACTATTTCAAGCACGGGAACCGAGTATGCATGTACGTGCATGCACGGGCGTGTGTTCGCAAGATGGGAAATGCAACTGATCAAAGGTTAGAAGAAGGCCCCAGTCTGGCTGTTTCTAAACACGCACACACGTACAGTTCCGTACCGACATGGAGTGACTACCAGACGCCCTTCATCGGCGTCTGAAGCAGGGCGACGGGAAACCGAAGCCACTGGCGGTCCCATGTTCGAGACGCCTAGCCGTGCCTGTTTCAGCGCTGCCCACAACATTTGAGACAGGTGAACTAAAGTTGTGAAGTTATTTGAGTCGAACCTCTCTGAAGGTTTAGGGCGTCTGCCAACACTGAAGTGTAATGGTACCTGACGGTGAGACGTTTTCAATCAATGACACGTCGTTCGCAGTCGACGTCGGCAAATCAACAATCCAGATACCCAAACATTGCGGGGGGCCACAAGGTGCTGTAGGGCAAACATCGCACATGCGCAGCCCAGTCCATGGAGAGGCTCTAGAAAACAGCGTCTGGTTGCGAAGTGTTCAGTCTAGTGTTGCGAGTTTCCCACATGCATGCTTCAAATGAGCACCAATGTGCAGGCACTCCCGCCAGCTCCTTCCGTCAGTGCCATCCAAGTTAGGGCAATTAAACACGCATACCTCCTTAGTCCTGATCTAGCGAGATGTCTTCATTTATTGTCACAAAAATACCAAGGAAATTTCATACAGCCACACAAGACTACAAGGCTGCTTGCTGGTGCCACACACAACACCAACGCCCACAATTTCACGATAACAGGCTGCTAGTCAGCTTCAATTTATTCAATGCGAAGCCGCCGGCACAGCAGTGTTGATAGCTTCAGATAATATACATCAAGTCACAGCCTTGTTGGTGCCCGCCTTAATGTGTGTGCGTGTTTGTGATTTACGGTCAAAAGTGCGATTTATGAGTCTTTGAAAGACGTGTATTATTTGAAGCTATCAACACCGCTGTGCCGCCGGCTTGTATTGAATAAATTGAAGTTAGCTAGCAGCCTCGTTGTTAGGGTTATTCTAGACCAATTGACTTGGTGTTGGTGCAAAAACAGGCGTGTTATAGTTAAATCTACTGCTACTAACTGCGATAAGCTATATTTCAAGCCTTACGAGCACAATAGACTAATTTCCCTCCATCACAGTCAATGGCGGTAGATTTGACTTGCAATAAAAACGGGCATTGGATCTTTCTTGAAGAGGTTTTGTAGATATCTGTATTGAAATCGTAAGGCCTGTAGCGGCCACTGTACTAACATCGAATCTCATAGTGGTTCTGTTTACCCAGTCCGCTTTGAATAACTGCCGCCAGATTTGATCGTTATAAATCCCTCGCTAGCTTATTGAGCGGCAAGGGCGTTCATAGCTCCTTCTGCGGTCGCCCAAAATAGCTGTCAACTCAAAATCACATGGCAAGCAGGATTGATTAAGAGTATTTAAGGGAAAGATAAACGACTTGAATACATGTAATTTATCCTGACTGTCATGCGGTCTTGAGTTTACAGCTATTTTATGCCATCGCAGAGATGAGAAGGGTTGCGTTGTGATGTTGCGTTGTGCGTTGCGTTGCGTGTTATGGAGTCATGAAATTGTGAGTGTTGGTACCCACGCAACCAGCACCGAATCTTGCCGAAGTGTTACCGGCCTGAGCCTACCCGAGTGCAGACGCCTTTTTGTCGCCCAGCCAAGCACGGCTTTGCATCGTACCACCTGTCAAGCTCCCATCAACGACTGTTGACTGCACCGCGACGCAATCGCCACCGTTCACTGGGAATCATTGCATTGCTATTTTCAGAGTCTCCTCCACCATGGGCCCTCGAAATGGCCTCCAAACATCCAGTGCCCTCTAGAGCAGCGCTCAATGCTCTCCGAGGCGTCGTCCTTACCACCTCCTGTTCTGTCATCTTGCTCGCCGAGGAGCGCCGGCGCCGGCTGCAGCTTGCACGAGCAGCAATTGAAAATGCACGAAAGCTTCACATGGTGCAGAGCAATCGAGGTCCACTAGCTCTCGCTGAAACCAATACACCATGGGAAAGCAGGTTCGCCGAGGTGGATGGGGAGGTTCTATCCATGGCGCCCCTGCCCCGACCGAGGACCTCTACGCGCCGCAGAGGCCGGTCGCATCTCATCGGGACTCGGAGCGAGAGTGAAGTGCATTACGACGATGACGGACGAACTCAATCGACGAGCCGAGCCGATACGAGAAGCAAGGTTTCCAAGTCGCCAGTTGACGTCGATGTACTTGGCCGCGCATTCGACATGGTCAACCTCGAGAACATGAGGCTATCACCGCTGAAATCTCACTGCTATACTAGTCTAGATTGGAAGGCTCCTAGAGCATTCACCCAGTCTGGAGCTTCAAAGGCTCCATTATCATCGACGAGACAATCAACCCCGGACACCAAGACCAGTCCCTCACAGCCTGCAGAGGATTCACCGGAAGCTGAATACGAGTTAATTTTGGACAGCAATGAGGGTCTTCATGTTGATTCCATCGGGTCTGCTCGGCTCTATCTGGAGAAATCCGGTCCAGAGGGCTTGACTGTTCGACCATTCTACGATGAAGCGATAGTGGTTTTGGAACAACTACTCCAGGACATGGAACTTACGGGTGCCAAAAAAGCAGATGTCTCAGAGAGAATCAATTTGGCAACCATGATATTCCAAAGGGTGGCAGCATTCGGTCCGCCATTGCCGAGAGCTACAAGACCACTTCGGAGTCAAGGTATTAGGCTCCTCCAACTGGTTTCAACCGCTAGTCCGGACAAGTTGGCAACCACCCTAGCTATTTTGCTTCCTTTAAGCAAAGATCCCTTGAAGTTCTTGCAGCCATTTATAGAGTGTACACAGCATGGAAGCAATCGAAAAGCGGTACGGGATGCCCTTAGGTTCTTGTCGCAAAATGCCAGGTCCTGCTCATGGGCCCGCGGCGTGCTGGTTTGCCGACTTCTCGCTCAACTAGCCAAAACACAAGCCAACTATGACAAGACGAAAAGAGTTTACCATGTGCTCCAGGACGCAGGCTTGTATAAAGAATTTGGCATTCCTCAGAGTACAGAATACAAGATACGACGGCTGATGGCCATTCTGGCCTTGGAACGTGGCGACGACTCACTTGCAAACACAGAACTCGAATTTTTGGGCAAGTTGGACTCAGAGGCTTGCAGATCTGATATCAGGTTGCAAACGCGACTCATAACAAGTAATGCCAAAATGGGTAAATGGGCAGAGGTTTGCTCGGATATTGAAGCGCTTGGGCAGATATCAAACACGCAGTGCATCGGGTTTCAGCGACTTTTAATAAGAACCACGGACATCTTCGACCAAAGTCACAATGCCTATGAGCTACAAATGTTTCTCCGGAAACTTGCCACGGAGTACAAGCTCAGCCTAAAACATCGTTGGATATATGCTGTATTGGACTACTACGCAAGTCGTCGACAAGTTGAACCTGTCTTCTCCTGGCTACAATTTTGCAGCAGCCACGGGTTGCAAATTGACTCGGCTTTCAATAAAAGGTTCTTTGCTAGGTGTCGTAAGTTCTGGAGCTTTTCAGACAAGACCATTCAGAGTTTAGAGGAAAGTCTACGAACAAGAGCGCGGACAGTGCCACAAACTGCTTCAGAAATGGGTCAGAATGAGCTCCAGCGGCAAATGGCATCGCTGGTCTCCAATGGGGAGTGGGAGCAAGTTACCGAAATATACGAGACCGCCTGTTTTTCTGGCACAGACCACTCGGTACAGTGTTTGCGGCTTGCGGTGTTGGCATACACCAAGTGCCGGAACCCTGATATAGAACGTGCGAGCAACTTGATCCAGTCTGCCTATGCAAAAGGCGGCGACATAAGTGAAGTACTGACTCCCCTATTGCTGGCAAAATTGGAACGAGGCGATGACCCCAGCTCGTTGATCAATGGCGCTCTTCGGATGGGAGTTCGCATTCATGATAGCGCATACAACAAGGCTGCCCAGGCGCTATCTGGCCGTGGTGATCATCGGGCCGCAGCCGACATGTGTGAGCTTGCTGCAAGAGAGAATGGGAATGGCGAGCTTTTGTACAACGAGTACAACTTTGCGAATCTTGTGTTTGCCTACACCGGGTCTGCGAACTACCGGGCTTTGCAGTCATTGCTTTCTGAATTCACATCGGATGTGCAATGGTGGCATGGTAGCCGAACATGCAAGGAAACAATCAAGCTGGCCATGAAGACGGCGGCGATGAGGAGTGTCGCGCATTCGCAAAACAGCGCACCACACCGACAGGCTCTCGACGAGCTAGACGAGGCGCTCATTCACGTCAAAAAGTGTCGTTCTACTAAGGACGATCGACGGGCTGTCTCGGAGGCTTACGTTCGTTTAGCGGCGATGCCATCATCCAAGATTCACTCAAAGTCGAATGGCAGATTTAGCAACAAAGCTAGTAAGCTACGTCGGGAGCGGGAAGTTGCACAGATCGCCGAACCTGTGCTTGGAGTGGCATCTAGCTCAGGCTAAATTCCATAGTTTATATGTACAAACCACTATGTTGAGAAAATTAATGTACGGAATGATCACATAAAATGCAGTAAAGAAGGTTAGTTGTGTCGTCTCGTGCAACCAGCCATCAATACCTAGGTACTCCGTACTTCAGTAGATAAGGAAAGTCGGCTACAGCAAGTCACGTAGCGACAAATCGGAATCAGTCGCATTTAATTGGGGGCAGTACAGGGTCTCATAGACAAAGAAACATGGTGACCAGTTGCAAGTTGGAGTGGAAGAAAAAGAATCGGACATGTCATGGGTCCATGGGCTCACTTTTTGCAAATTTGAGCAAGATTCGAACCATTGCCAACGGAAACAGGCAACGCCCTAGTCCCGAAGCATTACTATAGAAAGTGCCCAGCTGCCGTCTGATGACGAAACAGACAGGGCTGACGGGTGCGATTGTCATCAGACATAAAAGGGGGTTGGGACGAGAAGAGAAAGAGGAAGAAGAAGAAAGTGGTGAGTTTATGGGTAGGGGGATTGGGTACTCTGTACAGCGTACCACGGGCGTTGGTGGATGAAGTGCATGTTGAAGGCTGGAATTTCCCAACACCGCGAGTCGAGATGCATCACATGCAATTTCAGTTGGAAAGCAGCGCCAGGTGGTTCGATAACGTTGGTGCAGTGGGTGTCGGGCCCTGTTGACCCAGGATGGCAAGTTCCAGGCGCGATGGCAATTGGCTGAGAGCGATGGCAGCCACCCACAGTGGCGCCAGGACGGAACATTAAGGTGCCTGGTGTAGTGCCAGGCAATTATTGCGGAGTACTCAAAGTCTGGCTGGACAGGTGCTGGAAGACTACATGCAGTGCTCAGTGGCGGACAGCTTCAGAGGCTCCAGGCCCTGCAGGCACCAAACGGGGACCCGGCCACCAAGACTTGACCCCTGATGGCTTCACTGCGAGGGGCCTTTGAGGACGTTTTAATTGGGCCGCCTCGGATCAATTGATTGCATGATCTCTTTGACGTCGGGACACTGAGAGATGCATATAACGGATTATCCTAGGACACGGTCTCGGACGACTATCACCACGACCCTACCGTAGTGTACTTTCGTTATCATTTTTTTCTCTTAAATTCTGATGAGTTGTCATTGAACAAGTGGTCTGTCGTCATCCCCATATTAAACGTTTCGATCTGGGGATTATTATTTCGCAGCGCCATCAGATCCGCGAAATCTAAACCCGTCTGGCCACCCTCCCTTCTGGGCACACCGACAAACCCCAAGCCGACTCTCTTTTATTTTGCCCTCTGTCAATCGGCGGCCAATACACCACACAGCGTCTCAAATGTCTGCGAACCCAATCAGCGCACCGGGAGGCTCCCGCAGACGCCGCGAGCAGTACCACGAGGCCGATGTCGTTGTCGTAGGCGCGGGAGTCTTTGGATGCGCCATTGCCTTTGCCCTCGCCAACCAAGGCCGCTCAGTCTTGCTACTCGAACGATGGATGACGGAGCCCAATCGTATTGTCGGGGAGCTGCTGCAGCCCGGCGGCATGGCCGCTTTGAAGCAGTTGGGTCTAGGGCACTGCGTCGAAGGCATTGATGCCATCCCCTGCAAGGGCTACAATGTTATTTTTAACCACATCCCATCGCTGATTCCGTATCCGACCATCGACGACAGCGGCAACGTTATATACGCTTGGGGTGGATCGGGAAAGGAGGGCAAGCGACCCGAGGGCAGATCATTCCACCATGGCAAGTTCATCACCAAGTTGAGGGAGAGTTGCCTTGCTCACGAAAACATAACGGTTGTCGAGACGGAGGTCGTCAAGACTCTGCGGGGTGAATATACAGATCAGGTTTTGGGCGTCGAAACCAGAACCAAGAATCGCGAGACTGGGGACAAGAAGCCCGATTATTTCTTTGGTCAGTTGACCATCATCGCCGACGGTTACGACTCCAATTTCCGCAAGGATGCCATCGGGGACAAAAAGGCCGTCGTCAAGAGCAAATTCTATGCGCTCGAACTCATCGATACGATTCTGCCTCAAGAGAGCTACGGCCATGTCATTATCGGAAAGGATACATTCCCTACACTGCTGTACCAAATCGGTACGCACGAGACTCGTGCGCTGTTTGACGTTCCCAAGGACATTCCAGAGGCCTCACCTGCTGCTGGAGGCGTCCGCGGCTACATCAAGAACGTAGCCATCCCCGCTCTCCCGCCTTCTGTCCAGCCGGCTGCTCTCAGAGCGCTGGAAGACGGCAAAATCCCGCGCAGCATGCCCAACAGCTGGCTGCCGCCGACGAAGCAGATGCCCAAGGGAGTGCTACTCCTCGGCGATGCGTTCAACATGCGGCATCCCCTTACCGGCGGCGGCATGACTGTCGCCTTCAACGACGCGCTCCTTCTCTCGCAGCTTCTCGACCCGTCAAGGGTGCCGACTTTTGAGGATTCCAAGGCCATCGGCGCCGCCGTCAACGTCTTCTACTGGCGCCGCAAAAACGTCTCGTCCAACATCAACGTCCTCGCCCAAGCCCTGTACACGCTCTTCGCCGCCAATGACCGCCAGCTGTACGCCCTCCAGCTGGGCTGCTTCGAGTATTTCCAGCGCGGCATGACCGACGGGCCGTGCGGTCTCCTTGCCGGCATTATCCAGCGCCCTGCCGTCCTGGCATACCACTTCTTCTCCGTTGCCTTCTTGTCCCTCTGGCTGAATGCCCTTGCCATTTGTGCCGGGCCTTTGGGTGTTCTCAAGGCGCCCCTGGCATTGATAGATGCCGTGCTTATCCTGTGGAAAGCCAGCTGCGTCTTTTTGCCGCTAGTATGGCGCGAGGGCTTCCAGTAACCATCTTCGGGGGACATGAATAAGCAGGGAAGCGCGAGGCAAAGCACAAAATTTTTAAACATGGCCAGGCGTTGTTGTTTTTATTGTTTTTATTGTCCTTGTTGTTTTTATATCACAAACATGGTGTCGTGTTTTATTAACCAAACCGTCATCTTGCCCTAGATGCTGCGTATATATGTACACCAGAGATACACAAAGAGCTCACCCGCCCATCACGATTACACACAGGACAGGATGGAATACCTGAGGGCAGCGGGTGCCTCTATGAGCAACGAGAACGTGCATTAGCTTATAATAATAATAATGGTTCATGCGTGGCTTTTCCCGAAAGGCTTGCTCTGTGCGTATGATGATGCAGAAGGCTCACAAGAGATACAGACTCGGCGTCGCGTTTTAGCCACCCAGGGTCCGCGCCAGTACGCGCTTTTTACAAAGGTAGTGCTCGACTACAAGGAGCCGTCGTGAAGCTTGCGGGCTAGTAACTCGCCACCTCTGCGTAGATGATGCCGTCTTTCCCGCCGCAAAAGCCCTCGAAGTATAAAAGAAATCCCGGCCCTTCCAGCACGCATAAGGTGCACCCCATTTCCAGGCCCTCGGCTTCCTTGCCACCCTTTTACAAAATCCCTTCAAGTAAAAAATTTTCATAATCGAAATGCAGCTCGTCAGCCACTTGATGGTGCTCCTTGCCGTGAGCACCACCGCGCTCTGCGAACCGGCCACGTCCATCATGGTAAGTAGCCACCCTGGCCCCCCTCCCCGTTGCATCTGGGCTCTCGCCTTTGCGAAGCGAGAGGGAGAAGGAGACAAATGGTTAACAAGAGCGAGGGTGTTTCCTATCTGGCCGGCGGCGGCGGGTGCTACAAGAAAAACCAATATCTGGGCCACTTTGTAAAGGACATTGTAATCAGCGGGAAGTGCCTCGACCTCGCGCATACCGAGTACGTTGTGTCCCGACGTTGCTTTACAAACGCACAGTCGAGACAGATGATTGCTGACGAGGATAGTGCGATTAATTTTGGTACCGTGGACGGCTGGTGCTGGGGATACAAGTACGTGAACCCTGGATTCTGAGATGGCGGCGTTTCTGACAGCAAGACTAATCGTGCTAGGTCGCGTAAATGCGAGGGACTTAAGAAGGAGATGAACTTCACATTGGGCTGTAACAAGCTCTCGCGCCATGGGACCCCCATGTCTATCTTGTGCCGCTTGCCTGTCTACTGATAGTTAGATGCTAGAACATAGCGTCTTGTTGCGGATGAACAAGCTTGGAGGGGGAAGAATGGAATGGAATGAGTGGGTTACATGGTCAGATAACTTGTTTCCTCGGTTTGTGCGGCAATTATAGCAGCGGTGTTGTTTACCGTAGCAAAGACTTGTTTTCCTGCAGCCTTGTTGTGCTCTGATGAGTTTTCTCTTCTTTTTTGATTTTGACTGTCTATACTTGTCCGTGAAGAATCCCAACGTCTATGTTAACCGTCTTCGGTAGACGCCCATCATCCAGCTCGCTCTCAAAACGGCCAGTCCGACGGCCATCTTGATGCTGTCCTGGATGACATTTAATTTGCTTCCACCCACCTCATGCCACTCTATAGGCACCTCGGCGACCTTGATCCCGGGACTGGTGCCAATAACACCGCCATCGCTACCGAGAACGGGCGTAGCGGGCGCCGATTCAGCAAGCATCAGCATCTCAATGTCGAAGATCCAGCCCTCGGCATGCATGTAAGGTACAATGTGGGGTAGGGACTCGCGTGAGAACAGCTTGAAGCCGCATTGAGTATCGCGAATGCGTGATGTTGCAGGTGGCGTCAGGATGGTGAGAACCAGGTGGAAAGATCGCATGAGAAAGTTACGCAGAGCAGAGCGCTGTGAATTGTTTTAGCATACCACATCTTAGGACACAATGTTGATGCCCGGGAACAATTACCTTGACCACGGCTTCGCTACCAACCAGGTGAGCGCGACTTCCAATGGCAACACCCCGGAAGGAGCCGTCGATAACCTCTTCACAACCCTCTATCAACTTGCTCACGTCACTGAACCTGGAGGCACCATCGGCATCGGCGAATAATACATATTCGCCTCTTACATGGCGTAGGCCGTGGGTGACGCCTCCACCCTTGCCCCTGTTCTTAACCAGGGTCACGACCCGAAGGATATCATGGAGGTCATGCTTATGAGCAAAGTCAAGTGCTACCTCCACAGTCTTGTCCTTGCTCCCATCATTGACAATCAGGATCTCGTAACCTCCCAGCTCCGTGTTCGACTTGGCAGCATTCGAATGGCCACGCTGGTGGCGTCGGCTGCTGGGGCTAAACGGACCCTTGGCGGTGGTGCTTCGCCCTATATGCTTGTCCAAATACTCTACGGCTTCTTCCAGCGTGGGCAAAATTCGGTCCTCCTCGTTGTACGCAGGGAACACGACACTTAGTCGCAGTTCGGCAGGCTCAATGCTGCCAGCATCCGGGGCCGGATACGCTTCTTGCGGACGAACATGCTTTTGTTCCTGGAGGCGACGTTCAGCTAGCCAGCGATCGTACCAGCATGGCAACTGTCGAGCTGTTGTTGGCTTTCCCGAGGGGCTGGATGTGATGTATGTTTTCTCAGACGGGATGGCGGGTCGGGGTTTGGGCGCTACAAGGTGAAGGAGGACGAAAAGCTGAAGACGGTGATATGTTAGCCAAAACTGTTTCCAATATTCCCAAGGGCATGCGCCAAGCGATAAGAGAAGAGGAGCCATACACAAGCAAGGCCAAGGAGAATGAGCAAGATGAAGCAGACGAGAAGGACATGAACGGGGGTAGCTTCAATCCATGCTAACAGCGGCCGCATGAAGCGAGCCGCAAGCTCCAGGAGGGGCATTGCCATGAATTATCGTGCGTACAGATTGTTGCGAGATGAGCGTTGGAGCTCTGAACCTGGAGAAGCTCCAGGGACAGTAGCTTGCTGCGCGAGGATCGTGGTTTGAAAGTCAAGGCGTCGTCATTGGAAAAGAGAGTCAAGAAGAGCACGAGAACAAGGTAGACTGAAAACTGGAGGAGATGAAAATGAATTGATCGCGCAATCGTGTGGGAGTGGACAGTATGCGAACGGCAGGTGCTAATTATTGCTGCCAGCTGACAACATCAATTGTTGAAATAAATGCGATGATCCGTTGTCTGCAAGCTGACGTCTAGTCGCAAGTGCCAACATTGAAATGCTGCACGTCCCAGGCGTCCCATGGCCACACCGCGCCACGCCACATTCAAGGCCTGTACTCAGTAGACGTCAACGTGTTCACTTGCGCAGCTTGACCCTGACACAATGCCACGGCTGTGGCGCACGCTGTTTGAGCGTGCCTTGGGTACTCCGTACTTTAGTAAGTTATGGACGTCTGGTATTGACGGAGCCAATCACCACCGCTCCGCATGACGGAAATAGAGCAAATGTCAGCCCGTCCCCATCCATTATGGGGACATCTGGACTGTCAACCTGCACTAGCCCCGTAGCCCAACTTGCCCGAGTCCGTCACCACTGTGCTCCATGATACTATACTAGTACATAGTATGTAACCAGTACACTGGAGTTTTATTCCAAGGTTGGTAGGCTCAACCTTGGCACACAATGCATTACTCCGTGCTCTGAGTAATTTGCACCATTGAAGTCAGAGTCAGACAGATCTTCCGCCGGAGAGGTGCCGAACACTCGGGAAGCTGACCCAGTAGCAGCACTTGTTGCCAACTAAGTGCATTAGCCACTTAAAACCCCGTCCCAAGTCACAGCCAATTTGAGCATGCGAGTGATCCGTACTACCCTACATTCACCATCGTCACATCATTATTTGTGACCAAAGTCTGCAGAATATTGATGCAATGCTACCATGTATGTCTGAGCACTTTCTCCAAATAATACGACATCGTCAGGCGTGAGAGTCAGTCTCTCGAGATTATGTATCCATCGGGCTCTCGGCCTCTCGGAGACAATTTGACACAATCGTCCACATTGGCAGGGATGCAGTCCCTGCATCTCCACCAACTCAAAGCAGATTCCCAAGTTTGCTGTAGCATTAGTAAATTCCTAAATGCAATGAATGTGCAGCACAAATATATGGTACATACCTGTCCACCTGCCCACCTAACCAGATAGTCAGCATAGAGTATTGTCGGCGAAGTACCTTGCCTTGCTTCATGAGCCAACCGACGCCCACTCATTTAGACCTCGTCACCTCAGCTAGTATGGGATACGCTAGAACAGTCAGACTTGTTACTACCCGGCTATGCCTTGTATCTTCAGCGGGGTTTTAACATAAAGTATATGCCCTTTTTATATAGATACCTGATCTATACCACACGATCTTATTCCTACTACACATCCTAGAGCCATTCCACTATTGACCAGGCCATTTGGCCACCGCATGATAATAAAACAGCACAAAGATAGTGACAACAAATGCACAAAGCAAGACTCCCTAAACACCATTCTTCTATGCCAAATAATCATAAATTCGTTAAAAAATGATGAGCAAATCGAACTGAAATTGCTCAGGTCAGTGGCTGGCCAAAGGGAACTGGTATCGCGAGGCTCCGTGACGGGTTGCCATTTTTCCCACAATAAGAGAAGCTTATCTCTCGAATCGAAGACCAATCTTGGGCACCTATTCTCTCTCTTACACCATGAATCCTCGCGAAGGTGGCAGGTCTTTGCAGCCCTCTAGACTGCAACAACTGATACCTTCGAACTGGACCATCGATTCTTCTTGAAAAGCTTCCCTCCACCTGTCTTGGACAGTTTCTTGCTCTTTCCACCCTTTGATGGTGCTGCTTCAAGTCCTGCCTGCTCAGGGAACACATTCACGAGGTCTCCATGAGCCAGAGTTGAAGGAGGGCGGCTTCGATCCATGTGCTGATGGTCAGGGACAAAAGCCTGTGTTTGCCAGGTGTCCTGCCGCATGCTGTCCACATCTTGAGAGTGGCGGCCATTGGAACTAGCTTGTGATGTGCTGCTATATGCCATGGCAATAC